GCAACTCCGGCGGAGCTCCATTGCAGCCCGGCATGGTCCAAGGTAGCGCCGACGGCTCCGGCGAAGCTTCATTGCAACTCCGGTCGAGCTCCATTGCAGCCCTGCCGGAGCTCCACCGCAGCGCCGACGGCTCCGATGAAGCTCCATTGCAGCCCGGCTTGGTCCAAGGCAGCGCCGACGGCTCCGGCTCCACGGGTCACATGTCGCTTGCTGCACTGCAACTCCCCGCCGATTCGCGTTGCAGCGTCACTGGTCGACGGCGAGATCGTGGGGTCGCAGCGCTGCTGTGGTTGGACTGGCCGCGCCTAGAAAAAAGAGAAGAAGCAGGTGGAGCGGTGATGGCAGCTGGTGGTGCCTACAGCAGCAGGTTGGATTGGCTCATGCAGCGGTAGCTGCCGCGACGACGGGCCAGTGGCCGGTGGCGGCTTGCTTATCCTTCGTCCGGAGAAAGAGATGGGGATTTGCTTCTGCAGAGGTAGGAGATGAGGGAGCCGAGGGGCACGCGGAGAGGATAAGGTTGCCAGGTCCACGTCACGCGGGACACGCGTCGCTAGGACGAGGCGACTTACGCGTCGCTAGGACAGGTCTGGACATGATCCCATTGCGCTACCTAAAACGGATAAAATTCAAACAAAACGAACGTCCAAATGAGGTTGCGCGCTGGAGTTGGCCTACCATTTCGCAGACCTGCAAGAATGAAATGCTGCAGAAGTACTGCTATTCCTATTAGTAGTACGCGTGTTGTGCTGGCTACCGATAAGCATAACATTTTTAGTCAATGCTTGATGATAGGTACGGGCCCGTACCATTATTTTGAGGTGTCCATGTGACGGCGATGCCGTTGCTGGCATGTACCGCCTGGTTGTTGGCTCCGAGACTTCAATTGGTCGTCTAAGCAAATGCTACTAGCACGAGATGTCACGAGTGCTAGACATCTCGTGCTACTGACCTAGTGTACTAATATGGACGGACAAAATTGGCATAAAAAGAAGGGATAAGTATATTTTTCGTCCTCGAATTTTTTCGAGAGTTTAGAAATCGTCCCTCAACTTAAAATCGGATAATTTTCGTCCCTTAACTATCAAAACTGGATAGTTTTCGTCCCTCACGCCATTTCGGTGGTTCCCGTCCGCATGAACAGTATTTTTTAGAAAAAGCAAAAAAAGTCAAAAAAATCTGAAAATTTGTGGGATCAAAGTTCCTCGGTGCGCAAGGTGCGTGAAATTTTTTGTGCTATTTAGACATTCCAGGAGCTCGTGACAAAGGAAAAACCATAAATATGTACGCCAATGAACAGTAAATTTTCAAAAAAATTCAAAATATATGAAAATTGTTGACATACAAGATGCTCGGGTGCTCAATGTGCCTGCAAAATTTCGTGGTGTTTGGACATTGTGGGAGCTCAGTGGCAAAAAAACATTGACTAGGAAATAAACTTTGAAAAAGTGCACTATTTTTTTTGCTAGAGCTCCTCCTATGTCATTTCAGCACGAAAATATGCACACCCAAGCATCTTTGATGCCAAAAAAATTCATATTTTTTTTGCTATTTTGTTTAATTTACTGTTCACTGACGTACATATTTATAATTTTTTCTTTGTCATGAGCACCTGGAATGTCCAAACAATATGAAAATTTGTACGCACCTTGGGCATCCGAGGAACTTTGATCCCACAATTTTTCAGATTTTTTTGGTTTTTTTGCTATTTTTTCGAATGTTTGCCGGTTTACTGTTGATGACGGACTAAAACTGCCCGAAGCGGCGTGAGGGACGAAAACTATCCGGTTTTGATAGTTGAGGGACGAAAACTATCCGGTTTTGAGTAGAGGGATGATTTCTAAACTCTCGGAAGAGTTCGAGGACGAAAAATATATTTATCCCTAAAAAAAACTTATCTATCTGGTCAACGGGATCGAGCAGGAGCTTGTGTGCTGCGTGCATTTGCAGACAGATCTGAATCAGCGAAGATGGTTTGTTTCCAATGCTATTTTGTGTGCTCTTGGTAGACAATTCAGGCCGCACAGCAAGCCGCGAATGTGCTGGCGAAGCAAATGCTGCAGTACCTTTTGCTTTGTTCGTCGATTGCTTCCAAGAAACGGCAGGTACTCCAGTATATATGCCGACATCCGTGCGGGCAGCACGAAAACCAAAAGATTTCAGTGTCAAATCAAATTCTAGTACTGTATAAAAAACATCTTGTGATTGATGGACGCACGCATGTGCGTGTGCGTGTGCAGGGTCGGCGTGGACCATGCTGTCGCGGCGCTTCGCGGAGTACTGCGTGATGGGGTGGGACAACCTGGCGCGGACGCTGCTGCTCTACCACGCCAACCTCGTCTCCTCGCCGGAGTTCTACTTCCAGACGGTGGCCTGCAACTCCCGCGAGTTCCGGAACGCCACCGTCAACAGCGACCTGCATTTCATCCGGTGGGACACCCCGCCCAAACAGCACCCGCTCTACCTCGGCCCCAAGGACTACCGCCGGATGGTGCTCAGCAGCGCCGCCTTCGCCCGCAAGTTCAGGGACGCCGACCTCGTGCTCGACAGGATCGACCGGGAGATCCTCAAGCGCCGACCGCCGTCCCGCGACGACGATCACGGTGATCACGCCGCCTCTGCCTCTGTTGCTAGGCACGGCGGGCAGTTCTTCAGCTACGGCGGGTGGTGCTCCGAGGGGGAGGTGGGGCTGTGCTCCAACCCCTGGGAACCCAGCAGGAAGGGGGCCATCAAGCCCGGCGCTGGGTCAAGAAGGCTCAGGGTCATGCTCAACAAGATGTTGTCCGGAAGAAACTTCAGGAAGCAGCAGTGTAGGTGATCCACCCTTCTACCACGTCCAAGTGGTCTAACTCTGATGATCCGAGCAAAGGTGTCATGTACATACAGAAAGAGAGAAAAGGGGTACCAAGTTAAGGCAATTTTGGCTGAGATGGTGCAATCTCGCAGAGTAACACAGGACGTGTAACAATAATTCATGGGTTAACACGATTACATATTTGACACGATCACCCTTCTACCTAACACTGGCTGGTTCTTTAGGTTTTCTATTCTACTAGATGATCCGTGCGCAAAGGGCGAGCGCAAACATAGTATTGGAAGAGTGTGCATTGTAATATATAGATACAGAATGGAACATATAGAAATAAACGCATAAGAGCATTTTCAGTTGGCATACATTTGGACTTATTTGAGCTAATATTCTTGATAGAGCAAACAAAAATATTTTTTTTACATCAAGAATTTCAGAAAGCAGAGCTTGCATACCTGCAATGAGCAGAGCAATAGACAAAGAAAGCATTTTCAGTTGGCATACATTTGGACTTATTTGAGCTAATATTCTTGATAGAGCAAACAAAAATATTTTCTTTCATCAAGAATTTCAGAAAGCAGAGCTTGCATACCTGCAATGAGCAGAGCAATAGACAAAGAAACAATATTTTAAAGTATTGTTGCTGCCAAAGCACAGCTTACGATACTGCATGCAGCAAGCAAGTGATAGTGATAAATGTTAGGTCCTCTGGATCGGGGTAGGCTAGATCATCCGGTAAACCTACCTTCTCTAGCGGTTGATAAACTCGAGCCGGAGGCCATCGTGGAGAGGGTGATGGTGGCGATGGGAGAGAGATGGTGAGGCGGTGGAGCTTCCCGTGAGCACCGCGCTAACCCTAGATCGGTAGGGAGTGACGGTGGGGTTTGTGGCGGCGATAAACCTTGTAAGTTCACGGACGAGCAGCGCGTTCACAGGCGGTTGGAGTCAGATTTTGATACTTGTGGCTGTATATGCCCTTATATTCTAAGAATAGTAGTTGGAATAAATCAGACAAAACAATACAGATCATAAAAGTGCTACAAATTAGCACCAAGATAAAATTACAATTGTGACACTGTGACAAAGAACCACACATTCTGGACACGTATACACACGCGTGGCGCATATAGCATAGAGTCACCACGTGGTTTTTTCGAAAAGGGGCGCTTTATTACTTAAAAGCTTTAAATATTACACCCGGCCTCTGCATAACTATGATGCACACAGTCAAATAAGTTCTCTCATACAAACGAAAATTAAGAAGGCGAAATACAAAGAAACAGAGTATGTATAACACCTAAAGCGGAGGTGGGCCAATCCTAAGATCATGTTGCCACCCATGTTGGGTAAAAGTATCCCTCGTCGTATCCTCCAATCGTGTACACACCTCCGTAAACAGGCCTCGATTCTCCACACGTTGTAGAGAGGACCATAAACGAAGAGTCCCGGCACACCTGTAGATAACCTGCATCAGAGAAGTACTTTTATCGTTAAACACCTTATCATTTCTACATAGCCAAAGAGACCAAATAACGGCAAGCGCTCCCATCCTAAGAATAGTTCTGAACCTGTAATCTATCCCATGTAACCAGTTGCCAAATACATTAGCAACACTACAAGGAGGATACAAGCCAGAAGCTATTTGGATGACTGACCATATAGAACGAGCCAATTTGCATTGGAAGAATAAATATTTTATTGTCTCATCATCGTGACAAAAGACACATTGCGGGCTTCCATGCCAATTCCTCTTAATAAGGTTATCTTTAGTAAAAATGACTCCGCGACGAAGATACCATGCAAAGATTTTATTCTTTAGAGGTATCTTCATCTTCCAGATTTTCTTATTATTATCAACTGGCACATCAGACTGGATTAACGCTCTATACATAGACTCCACTGAGAATTGTCCATTCCCATGTAGGTTCCATCGAAATACATCAGACCCATGTGACAAATGCATCGTGGACAACCGCTGGAGCAGGATATACCATGATTGAAGTCTGGGTCCAATTAAATCTCTTCTGAACGTCACATTTGGCGGAAATGATTCCATTACCGTGGTGATAGTATCACCCTTATGACGCACAATGTTGTATAGAGCCAGATATTGTTCTCGGAGTGTGGCATTTCCTAGCCACTTGTCCTCCCAGAATCTAATTTCCGAGCCGTCCTTAATTGAGAAGGATCCATAGGAGAAGAAATATTTTTTCGTAGCCATCAGACCTGCCCAAAAGTGAGAATCCCCAGGCTTCCAGTATACTTGAGATACCGCTTTGGAACCCACATATTTCCTTCTCAGGAGGGTTTGCCATACACCATCTCCCGTCATTAATTTAAACAACCATTTGCCGAGGAGGACCCTATTCTTAACCTCAAGGTCATGAATGCCCAACCCGCCTTGGTCTTTGGGACGGCAAACCACACTCCATTTAACCAATCGATACTTCTTTTTCTCGCTATCTCCTTGCCAAAAGAATCTTGATCGGAAATAATCCAATCTATGTAAAACTACTTTCGGCAATTGAAAGAAGGAAATCATATATAGTACCATGTTACTTAGTACTGAATTTATGAGGACCAATCTTCCACCTAAAGACAACAGTTTACCTTTCCAACTGCTAAGTCTTTTTTGCAGTCTTTCCTCGACGTATTTCCATTCAGCATTTGTGAGTCTCCGATAATGTATCGGTATCCCCAAGTATGTGATCGGAAACTAGCCCAACCCGCATTCGAATAGTTTGGCGTATAGGTGGGAGTCGCCTTGAGCCTCGCCAAAACAAAACAATTCACTTTTGTGAAAATTGATCTTAAGACCTGAGAGTTGCTCGAATGCGGATAAAATTAATTTCAAATTTCTCGCTTTCTCGAGGTCATGATCCATGAAGAGAATCGTATCGTTGGCATATTGAAGTATAGAGAGACCACCATCAGCTAGATGATTTACTACCCCATCAATTTGGCCATCAACCTTGGCACGCTCAATCATGACCGCTAGCATATCCGCCACTATATTGAATAGCATGGGCGATATGGAGTCACCTTGTCGCAACCCCTTTTTCGTTTGGAAATAGTGTCCAATGTCATCATTGACCTTAATGGCAACACTACCTCCAGAAACGAAGTTATGGATCATAGTGCACCACTCTGCAGAAAATCCTTTCATTCTGAGAGTCTTATGAAGAAATGGCCATTTGACTTCGTCATAAGCTTTTTCAAAGTCTAATTTGAGTACCACTCCATTCAACTTTTTTCGATGTAATTCATGAATTGTTTTATGAAGGATAACAACTCCATCTAGGATGTGTCTCCCTTGCATAAAAGCAGTCTGTGAAGGACGAACCACGTGTTCAGCAACCGTATTTAGCCTGATCGTCGCAACCTTCGTAAATATTTTAAAACTAACATTAAGAAGGCAAATAGGTCTATATTGTTGTATCCTTTCAGCCTCATTAACCTTAGGTAATAAAATAATCTCATCGAAGTTTAAGCAAAACAATTCTAGTTGGCCAGCATGTAGGTCACTAAACAAAAGTAGGAGATCCGGTTTGATGACTTCCCAGAAGTTCTGTTAGAACTCAGCGGGAAAACCATCCGGACCCGGGGCTTTGTTGTGCTCCATTAAGAAAACTGCATTTCTAACTTCCTCCTCGGTGTACGGGGCTGTTAGAAGTCCATTTTCCTCATTAGAGACCTGGGGGATGTCATCTGTTCGGGACTCATCCATCGAGAAGTTTTCTTCCTCTGGGGCTCCGAACAGATTTTTATAATAATTAGTGATGTAGGATTTAAGTTGCTCATGCCCCTCAATCGTGCCCTCGTCCTGTTGTAGGGAATGAATAATTTTCTTCCGGTGTCTACCATTGACGACTCCATGGAAATATCTAGTATTCGAATCACCTTTCAGGATAAACTGAGAGTTGGAATGATGGTACCATTTGAGTTCCTCTTCACGCAGCATGCTAGCTCTCTGTGCATTCGAATGACTCTTGATCTTGATTTCATGCTCAGATAAATGTCTAACCTCTGCCAAAGCTTCTAACTCGTCAATGATAGATGAAAGACGAAGCTTCTCCTTTTTGAGGATACGCACCGTATGCCTAGCCCAACCACCAAGGAATTTGCGTAATGCACGCATTTTGTTATTCCATCTGTGAATTGGGGTATGCCCGACCACTGGTTTCTCCCACACCTCCTTGACCATATCTTGGAAGCCACCCCGAAGCAACCACCCAAGTTCAAATTTGAACTTGCGTCTATGTTGTGGTCGTGGCAAACCAGTAGTTAAGAGAATGGGTGCGTGGTCTGATATAGCCTCAATACGAGGTAGAGCACGAACAGACACCATGAAAATTAGATTCCCAGTCGGTATCCATTAAAACGCGATCTAGTTTCTCATATGTCGGTTCCGGAAGACTGTTGGTCTTGGTTCCATCGACCAGTTTCATTGGATTCGTTCCCCTCTCCCCACTGTACTCGTACTGGAGAGAAAGCACGGCTCCATCTTCACGGCAGCTCACTCTACAGCTTGGCGGCGGAGCGGCTCTCGCTGCAGCTCAGAGGCGCTGCGGCTACATCTGCATCTCGGTGGCCCGGCAGCTTGGAGGCACAACGGCTCGCCGGCTCCATGTGCATCTCGGTGGACCAGCAGCTCGGAGTTGCGGAAGCGGGTATGTCGCCGCCGTTGCTCGTATCGGCGAGCCAAATCCTCGCAGTTGTTGCTGTTGCTCCCCGTCAAAGGTGGCGTCTATTTTGGCTGTGCTAGCACTCCCTGAAGCTGATGACTTTCGACTGCAAGCGAGGCTCCAGCAAGACCACGGTGGCCGCCGTTGCCCCTCAGGTAAAAACTAACCTCCTTCATTGTTTGATGAATCTATAGAATTTTTTGTGATTCAATTCCACTGTAGCACGAGGGGCACCATAATCTACTCTTTTGCCGAGATTAGTGGAACGGCAAAGTATATTTCATTTTCTGAAAAATAGAACAAAAAACAGAACAAGATGCAGGG